TTTATATTTCAACAAGGATATTCGCTAAACGTGCGACTTAGCCACTCTCATACCAGTATGAACATTTATTACTATCAACTTATCACAGCTAATTGTACTAGATCGAACAGCACTCTCTAAGAGCAGCTACTACACGGGAACATAAATGCAGTGACAATGACCAGTTGCCCTGTGGTGATTTGAAAAACACAAACCACATCCTATCTCCTCTACTGCGCTAGATACTTCTCATCTTCCCTGATTTGTCTCAATTCTTCTATTCGTTTTCGAACATCTTCGACGGATATCGCAGCAGGTACCAGTTCATCGAGCTTTTCAGCTCGAATTTGTTTTGCGGCCTCTGCAAAGGGGAAATGATGAAGTATTTGAAACTGAAAAGCGAAAAATGAATTGTACTTACTATCAATTAAAGCTAGTTTATCTCCGTAGCAGTAATGCGCTTCATATCCCAAGTATGGAACGACGACAAAAATGGGCAAAAGATGCATCATGTTCCTGAATGCTTAACGTACACACAGTAGTAACTCAGTTTTTAAACTCATGCAGAACGAAGTCTATAGGTTCTGAGCGAGACCTTCGAAATACAAATAAAGAGTGGGAAGGATTGCTACATCCAGAAAGACATTTGACGAAAAAACATTCATATGAACAGATGTTACAGTACAGACAAATCTCAAAAGATTAGTGACTTACTTGTGATGCATCCACGAAAACACACAAAACAGCGACATAACACCGCCTCCAGACGCTGTCCATTTTAATTTTTCGCGTTCTTCAGCTAACTGAAATCAAGAATGCAAGAATGATTTTACCCAGTAGGTAGTACAAACTTTCAAGCCAAATCTAATAATTTTTGCCTAGACACTGTCAATCTAAGGCTACACATGAGTAACAATTGGCCACAGCACACCAGCGATTATCACCAAATTGAAGTGGCCGATTCTCACATTCATACCGTTACTGAGAGCTTCGAACGCCTAGAACTCGATAAAGTCTACCTTGCTTACCTGCAAAACATTCCTGGAAGAAAACTTATGAGCTCATTTCCTCATC